GGTCGTGATCTCCGGCTTAGGCTGTGGCGATATTACTTGGTTTGTTTTTTGTTGTTTGTTATTTTTTTTTTGTTCATTGCTGTGCTGTGAAATGTAGTGTTATTTTTTTTGGGGGGGAGGGGGGGGTGGTTTTGGTTTGGATTTCGGTTTGTTCGTTATTCTTATATTTGAGTCAGGCAGCAAATTCTGATTTTTTTTTTTCTTTCTGTCTCTCCATTCTCTCTTCTCTCTCTCTCTCTCTTTTCTCTCTCTCTCTTCTCTCTCTCTCTTACTCTCTCTATCTCTTCTTCTCTCTCTCTCTCTCTCTCTGTATATAATATATATAACATATATAATATACTATACTATATATTATATTATATATATTATATATATATATATATATATGTATAATATATATATAATATAATATGATATAATTATATATATATGATATTATATATATATATATATATATATATATATATATATAATATATATATATATATATATATATATGTATATATATGTGTGTGATATATATGTACATATAAACATATAGAAATGTACATACATATATACATACGTCCGGTCCTTTCATTAATAATAAAATGTCAGGTCATTAGCACAAAGGTAATTATTCAGAGCAGAAAATAACGGGGAAACAAACTGCCATCATTTAGCTGTCCCGTGTAAATATGGGTAATTAACATGCCATTGCTGAGTGCATTTGCGGATGCGGTTTTTATATATTTTTTCTGGTGTTATGCCATTGTGGATATTTATTCCTGAATGCGTGTTATTATAGATTGCTCAGATTGTATTTTTTTTTTTTTTTTTTTTTTTTTTTACAGATTTGTATTTTTTTTTATACAGATTTGTGTTTTATTTCTTTTTTTTCTTTTTTTTGTATTTGTTTTTGTTTGGATCTTATATGAGTTGTTGTGGGGTTTTCGAGGTGTATGTGTTACGTAAGTTACGTTAAGATGCGAATTATACGTGTTGTGTGTGTGTGTGTGTGTGTGTGTGTGTGTGTGTGTGTGTGTGTGTGTGTGTGTGTGTGTGTGTGTGTGCTGTGTGTGTGTGTGTGTGTGTGTGTGTGTATGTGTTTATATGTATGGACTGTATGTGTGGGTGCTTGATGAATAAAAAGTGACTGACAGAAGCATCTCTTCCGGTGACTGCACCACTATGGACAGACCCCCGCCACCCCCCCCCTGCGACCCGCTTTGTGGAGTCAGGAAAGAGGGGAGAGAATGGGGCGATGAAAGGGGAGGAAGCATAGCAGGATAAGTGACCGAAGAGAGAGATTGAGAGGGTGAGGGAAAAGGAGGTTAGACTATGCCAAAGGTGAATAATTTCAGGACATACACATATACACACACGACAGACAAACACACACACACCAACACACAACCACACACACACACACACATAAACACACACACATAACACACACACAAACACACATATATATATGTGTGTGTGTGTGTGTGTGTTGTGCGTGTGTGTTGTGTGTGGTGTGTGTTTGTGTGTTGTGATCGAAAAAATGTATAGAGACAGAGAGAAGATTTAAGTAATGAATAAAGATAGATCCAAAAAGAAAGAGACAGACAAAAAAAAAAAAAAAAACACACCAGAGAGGGAAATGGAGACAAATATTATCCACACGATCCACATCCATTGTATTTAGTGTGGAAGGCTTAGGTGGATCGATCCGCGTAATGGATAATTTAGGGGCGATTATCGCTCTTCTTTAACCCCCTCCCCCCCTCCTCCTCCTCCTCCTCCTCCTCCTCCCTCCACTGAGAGCAATTTCAACATCTAAAAAAAAAATTGCCGTCATCACTATCTTTTCTTCTCTTTCAGGTCGTTTGTTTGATTTTGTAGTGTGTGTGTGTGTGTTGTGTGTGTGTATGTCTGTCTGTGTGTGTGTTATGTATGTTGTGTTGTGTGTGTGTGTGTGTGTATGTGTGTGTTGTGTGCTATGTGTGTGTGTGTGTTTTGTGTGTGTATCTAGTCTGTATGTCTGTGTGCGTGTAGTTTATGTATTTGTATGTATGTCTGTATCTGTATGTCTGTGCGAGTGTAGTGTGTGTATTTCTATGTCTTTGAGAGAGAGAGAATGCCTGTTTGTCTCCGCGCCTGGTATCTGTGTGTCTCTATATTCCTGTGTGCGCGCGTGTCCTAATTCGCAACCATTTCCTCTCGAACGCGCGTGTGTGTGTAAACCCTCACCTTTGTCATACCCGCACCGCCACGAGACACAAAGGACAGCGTGCATGTCGTTGGGTTTGCTGTTTACCAACACACCCAATAAAGCGACAACACGGTTCTTACTTCTGTGTATTGTTTGTCTTTGTGAGGTGTCGTTCCTCCCTGTGTCTGCTGGCTGTTTTTTACGCTCCCGAGAGAACTCATTAAAGTATCTTTTTTTCTCTCTCTCTTTTTGAAGTCTTTAATGAACAGCTGTTTTACATGGAAGTTGGGGGTTGAGGGAGGAAATGTTTGATTTTGGGAGGTCCTCGAGATGGGGAAGGAAGGTGGGGAAGATGGTGGCGTTGTTCCCTTTATTCTCTACTTCTCTGTCTCTTTCTCTTTTTTTCTCTGTCTCATGCTCATACCTCTCTCTCTCTCTCTTTCTTTCTCTCTCTCTCTCTCTCTCTCTCTCTCTCTCTGTCTCATATTCTTTCTCTCTCTCTCTCTCTCTCTCTCTCTTAAAAACACACATACAAACACACACACACACACACACATATGTTCGCAAAGATCTATTCAAAAAGACATGTCGCCTCAGAGGCAGAGGGTCCCGGGTTCGAATCCCGTCCGCGGCATTACAAATACACAGCTACTCAAATACACTTGCACACACACTTACACTCACACATCCACGCTTCACACAACACCCACAACATGCCTGCGCCCCACCTGCTGGTCCAAACCCGATCTCGCGGCGAGAAAGTTAGGCGCAGTTGCCGTTGGTGCTCCGTGGCCGCAGCGCCGCCACAGTCGCCTCCGCTGAAGCTAGGATATCTCAAGTTGAAGTGGATCCTGTGCGCTGCCGGATACGGTTAGACGAACGCGTCGCGAACGCTGGCGGGGCATTAGGTTGTATACATTTTTGTAGAGACTTTCATTCCAATGCGGTTATATATAGTTCTGAGTTTGGCCTATCTGTCTGCAATGCTATCTATCTGTCTGTCTTTCTGTTTTTCTGTGTGTCTCTATCTGATCATATTTCTTTTTTTTCTATCAGATGCTGCAACAACCAATAGCTATTTTCACTACAAAAAGCTACTGGGATTTGCAACAATCGTGCAATTACGCTCGCAAATATATAAATCTATGAACTTTGATGTCATTTTGTGATAGGTTTCGCTTTCTCTCTCTCTCTCTCTCTCTCTCTCTCTCTCTCTCTCTCTCTCTCTCTCTCTCTCTCTTCTCTCTCTCTCTCTCTCTCTCTCTCTCTCTCTCTTCTCTCTTCTCTCTCCCCTCTCTCTCTATCTATCTTTAACTCATGCTCTCTCACATTCTCTCTCTCTCTCTCTTTCTTTCTCTTTTCCCTCTTCTCTCTCTCTTTCTTCTATTTCTCTCCTCTCTCTCTCTCTCTCTCTCTATCTATCTATCTCTATCTATCTATATACCTATATACCTCCTCTCTCTCTCCTCCTCTCTCTCCTTCCTCTTCCTCTTCCCACACTCTCCTGACTCTCTCACCTCTTCTCATTCACCTTTTTACTCTCTTTCTTCTCCCTCCCCCTCTCTTTCTATCTCGCCCTCTCCCTCTCCCTTTTTAAAAGCTTAGAAATTCGAAGCGATGGACAGTAATAGGGAAAGAATAATGATAGTGGATCGAAACAAAGAAGAAGGGAAGAGAACCGCAATGTGAGAGAGAGAGAGAGAGAGAGAGAGAGAGAGAGAGAGAGAGAGAGAGAGAGAGAGAGAGAGAGAGAGAGAGAGAGAGAGAGAGAGAGAGAGAGAGAGAGAGAGAGAGAGAGAGCGAGTACGGGGAGAGAGGATAGATAGAGAGAGAGACGTGATGAAAATGTAGTAAATAAACCAGAAATCTATTCACTCACGTTAGACTATCACAAGGAACCACAATAACCGTGGATTTAACCCAGACAAAAAGAAAAAAAAGAAAAATCACAGACCACAGGTATTATCTCTCTTTTGTTTCTTCAATAAAAGGGAGAAGCAGAGAGGTTGCACAAAGGTCACGCGAAGAGGGCTAAAGGCAGACCTTCGCATGAATGTGGGAGAAGGTCAGCTGGTGTCGATAAAGGCCAGGGAAGGTGTTCGGGGATTAAAAGAACAGGAAGACAAGGCGCGGTACGGAGATTTCCCCAAAATAACACGCGTCGGATTTTGGAAAAAAAAGTATTTTCGTTTTTATTTTTTTATATGTATATTATTTTTTTTTTCTTATTCTTGTTTAATCAAATAAAATTTGATAGTAACGAAGGATGTTGGTAGAATCTGAAAGGTTTAAAAAGTATAAAGATAAGAATAAAGATAATTACAAAAAATAACTCTCCGAAGGAAAATAACCGCATGTGTTTCTTACCCACATATTTTCACCTCAAATTCAACAAATCCAAAAGAAATACCAACAAACAACCTTAAAAAAAGAACATAAAACCTTTCGAAAATACCCCCCCCCCAAAAAAAAAAAAAAGTGAGACAATATATAAATATAAATAATAAATAAATAAAATATAATAAAAAAAAAACAACAATACAAAAATAAATTATCCAGCGAAATAATGGCTGCGGGTCAAGAGACAATTCCTCACAGAGAGAAAGCATTAACTCGAACCATTCTTTAGATCTGGGTCGCCATAGATCGAGGCGAGAGGTATGGCTGTCAGAAGCGCCGTGTTATGGATAGGGGAGTTAAGGCTGCGGGATATAATGTATTGTATTATGGATGGGGGGGGGGGGGGGAGATAGATGGTGTTCTTTTTCGAGTTTCTTGTGTGCTGGTGTGTTCTCTCTTTCTCTTTCTTTCGCTCTTTCACTTTCTCTCTATCTCTATCTTTCTTTTTCTTTCTTCCTCTTTCTCTCTCTTTAATTCTGAGGAGAATGAGAGAATGAGAAGTGGACAAAGAGAGAAAAAGGATGAAAACAATGTCTAAGGAGAGTAAAAGAATAAGAATGAGAAAGTGGAGGAGAGAGAGAGAGAGAGAGAGAGAGAGAGAGAGAGAGAGAGAGAGAGAGAGAGAGAGAGGGAAGAGAGAGAGGAGAGAGAGAGAGAGAGAGAGAGAGAGAACATCGAAGCGAAATCCATGGCAGTCATGAGGTTCGTGTCAGAGAACGGAAATAAACTTATGAAATAATCTACTGCATCAAACGGAAGAAAATAAACAGTTCTTCCTTAAACTGTTGATCTTGAGGCGATGTTGCCAGAGCGTCCAGACTCAATATTGCAGCGTATGATTGCATTAACGCAACGCGGTCAACATTAGCACTACCAATACTGTTGCTAGGGAGAGACAGAGAGAGATGAGGGATGATCTTGATCTTCGACAATGATAATGGAATTTAAAACCGATAAATATTCAACGAAAAAAAAAAATTATATAAAGCCGTAATCAGGATAAAACAAACAAAAAAAAACACAAAAACAATTAAAATAACAAAAAAAAAACAAAAAAACACAAAAAACAATTAAAATAACAAAAAAACAAAAAAAAAAACAAAAAACAATTAAAATAACGCAAGAAAAACAATTAAAACAACGACAGCGAACGCAAACCAACATTATGCAAGAGAGTTGAAACCTCCCTTCGGCTTTTAGTAGTGAAAAAGGGCGTGGCTGACCGTAGAGTTTTGCTTCATGCAACGGCGTCACGAGAGGTCGGCGCTGCTACACATAATAACAGTCCTTCTTTATCCCGTATTTTTTTTTCTTTTCTTTTCTTTTTTTTTTTTATCTCGTAAAGTCTAGGCATGCTAAAGTGGTGGAATTTGGGTGATTGCACAGGATATAGTATCAAAATGTGTAGTTATTTTTTTATTATTTATATTTGGTACACTTTCTATTTATACTTAATACACTTACTGCGTTATTCAATAAATTTATAATGTTATTGATTATTGTTTTTAATTGTTTAATGATAAATGATATAGGTTATTCTAGCTATGATTTATCACTAGCTTCGCTGTTTGTTTTTATTAGTGTAACTATTCTTGTGTTTACCCTTAGGTTTTTATGATTATAATTCTGATGATCATTTTTTCAGGTCTGATTCTTATATATTTTTGAATTCTTTTAGACTTAATCATCATCACCATCATCTTCATCCTTACCATTACTATCACCATCACCATATTCATCCCCTTCACCATCACCATTACTATCACCATCATCATCATCATCACCATCAACCTCAATAATCATCACAACCCCCTAATAACACAACCATCATCACCATCCATAACCAACCCTTTCCCCTACTCACTCCCACGAGCACAATATACCCACCTCCCACTCACCCCCTCATCCCCCTCCCTAACTCTCTCCCTCATCCCCATTACCCCCCACATCACCCCTCACCCTCTCACCCTCCCCCTCACCCCCCACGCCCCACCATACCCCCCCCTCTTTTCCCCCCTTTGCTAATTCCCTTTCTCTCTTTTCCCTCTCCTGCAGAACACACAGAGGGGAGGCCGAGACACCATAAGACTCGCCTGTAGCAGTCTAGGAAGACAAATACAACTCTCCTTTTCATCTCCTGAAGCTTAGTAAAGCGAGGGGGATAGGAAGAGGGGGAGAGAGAGAGAGAGAACAGGAGGAAGGAAGATAGAAGGAAGAGGAGGAGGAAGAAGAAGAGATCGGAAGAAGAAAGGTGAAGAGGAACGAAGAGGAACAGGTAGAGAGAAGAGATTTAAAAAAAAAGGAAGAGGAAGAAATAAAGACAGGAGAAAGGGAAAGTGAAAAGTGTAAAAGAAAGAGGAGAAAGAGACATATAGAGGAACAGGAGATGACAAAGAGATAAAGAAAACAACAGAAAGAGGATTTGGAAACTAAGCAAATCGGATCTTGTATCGTCTTCTCTGAATCCTCTATTTCTCCGAAAGATAAACGAACGATACACAGAAGAACGAATATAGAAATAGAATAAAAGAGAAGAATAGATCTTTTTTTAGAAATCTGTAAAGGTTATTATACCTTGTGTGGGTTTAGTGGGTTTTGTTTCCAAGCTAATGACTCCACAGTGTATCTAAAGTAATAATTCTGCCGTAATAACATAAAAATTTGCATGGCTTAGATAAAGATAATGAGATAGCGAACTGATAGAAAACGGAGCCTTCCCAGAATTCAACAAGATGGTGGTGAAGATAGTGTGATGACATAGCTGGTGATGACTTAGATGGTGGTGAAGATATTGGTGGTGGTGAAGGCACAGTGACGGAGACATAGATGGTGAAGATACTGTTGGTGGCGAAGACACAGATGGTGATGGAGACATAGATGGTGGTGATGAAATTGATGGTGGTGAAAACACCGTGATGGAGATTTGGTGATGAAGATGCTGACGGTGATGAAGACTTAGAAGGTGATGACGACAGCGCTGGTGATGGAGACATAGATGGTGATGAAGACATAGTATGTGATGAAGGTTCGTGGATGGACGTGGGCGACTTCGTGGGCGGTGGTTGGCTTATGGGCGGCGGTGACGCTGCTCGTCGCCCTCGCCTCGCTGGCTGCCCTCTTCACGCCCACCTGGTTCGTCCGCCACTCGCCCTCGCCGCCCGTGATGTTCGGAGTGTGGGCGTGGTGCGTGGGCGGCCTCAACGACCAGAGATGCGCCGCCGTGGGTCAGGGCGTAGCGGGGAGTGAGGGCGCCCTCCCGTCGGCCGTCTGGGTGATGGTGGGCGCCGTGTACGGGGGTGGAGGCGCCCTGCTCGCCGTCACGGGCCTCGCGGCTCTCCTCACGCCCGTGCTGCCCACCACGCACGCCCGCGCCGCCCTCGCGCACGTGGCTGGGAACATTCAGGCTGCAGCAGGTAGGAGGACCTTGCTCGTTTTGTATTTTTTTTTTTTTTTTGTCTTTTCTTTTTTGTGTGTGAGACAGAAAGAGAGAGACAGAGAGAGAGAGAGAGAGAGAGAGAGAGAGAGAGAGAGAGGAGAGAGAGAGAGAAGAGAGAGAGAGAGAGAGAGAGAGAGAGGAGAGAGAGAGAGAGAGAGAGAGAGAGAGAGGAGAGAGAAGAGAGAGAGGAGAGAGAGACAGAGAGAGAGAGAGAGAGGAGAGAGAGAGAGAGAGAGAGAGAGAGAGAGAGAGAGGAGAGAGAGAGAGAGAGAGAGAGAGAGAGAGAGAGAGAGAGAGAGAGAGAGAGAGAGAGAGAGAGGAGAGAGAGAGAGAGAGAGAGAGAGAGAGAGAGAAAGAGAGAGAAAACAGAGAAAGACAGAGGGAAATATAAATGTGAGAGAGAGAGAGAGAACACATCATCTTCCATTCGTTGTATGGGACAAAACAAGAGGTTCATTTCTAGAAATGATGTTTGTGATGATGCTGGTACTTATTTTTGAGGGATGAGGGAGGAGACAAGACTGGTCTATGTTGACGAGCAATGGTGGTTGGATTTCCGTTTTTCTTCCTTTCTTTCTTTCCTTTTTAGCGCCTTTCTGTTACCTTGTGTTTTTGTCTCTCTCATTCCCCGTTTCTCTCTCTCTGTTCTTTCTTCCTCTCTTCTCTTCACTTCTGATCCCCTATGTCTCTCTCTCTCTCTCCATCCCTTTCTCTCTCTCCATCCCTTTCTCTCTCTCCATCCCTCTCTCTCTCTCCATCCCCCTCTTTCTCTCTCTCCCACCTTCTTTATCTGCCTGTCTATCCATCCATCTATCTATCTACCTATCTATCTACCTCAACATTCAATCTCGGAAACTCCATATTCCATTCATAATCCATATAAATAAAAATATACTTAATTACAACGTAACATCAAGAACAACAAAAACAAAACAAAAAAGAAAATAAGAATAAAAACAAAACAAAAAAGAAAAGAAAATAAGAATAAAAAAAAAAAAAAAGGAAATAAGAATGAACAAAAAAAAATAAATAAAAGATAAAATACCCCGAGCTTTCAGATTGAAAAATATCCATGTCACGGTTTATTTACGTCCTAATGACAGCTCCGTGATGGGCATCCACTTAGGATATGATTATTTCTCAATTAATGAATCGATTTATTTAATGGCGCTGTGGATTCATTCTCTAGAATTGGCGAATATGGTGAAATTAGGCTTTGGCAGAACGATTTGTCCAGTGGTAAAAAAGAAAAAAAGGGGAAAAAAATAGTAAAAAAGAAATAGCAAAAATAGGTAAATAAACAAGTTTTGTCCAGTGGTAAAAAAAAAAAGGAAAAAAAATATAAAAAAAATGGCAAAAATAGATAAATAAACAAATAAAATAAAAATAGATAGATAAAAAACAAACTTAAAAATAAAACAACAATGGCGACAGTTCTGCAAAATTTCAGGCTCTATAAAAAGAATGCTGAAAATAGCCATTATTTGTTGTCAATAGAAATGTCTGTTGGATCTCTTTTTCTCTATTTTTTCACTCTCTCTTTTTTAACAATTTCGCTTGCTTTCTGTTTGGAAAGAATTAGGGAATAACAAGGACAGAGAGTGAGTGAGTGAGTGAGGGAAAAAGGAAGAAAGGAAGGGAGAGAGAGAGAGAGAGAGAGAGAGAGAGAGAGAGAGAGGAGAGAAGAGAGAGAAGAGAGAGAGAGAGAGAGAGAGAGAGAGAAGGAAAAAGAGAAAGAGGGAGAGAAAATGAGAAGAGAGAGTAGAACCGAAATAAAGCGAAAGAGAGAGATGAGACAAAGACAGAGAGACAGACAGACCGAAAAAAAAACAAGTGATATACACACCAAAAGGAATACCAAGAAAAAAGAACAGTAAAACAAGAAGGAAATTAGACAACAGGCATAGACAGATGATGAGAGCAGCGCCATCAGTGCGTGATCAAGCGTCCCTTTTCATCAATTATCTACCATCTACGGGCTTTTG